TAAAAATAAATTTAAAAAATTAAAAATAAGCAAAAAATATTTTTAAATTAATTTTTTATGTTTAGGGGTAAATTAAATATATTTCCCGTTAGTGGGGTTCGAACCTCCAACCCTTTTTGGAAGGAAACCAAACAGTTACCCACTACACCAAAAATTAACTTTAATTATTTTTCAGATGATTTTTGTTTTTTTGAAGGGCCATAACTTTTTTGATATTTAACCGAGTTGAATGATTTATATATCATTCGAAAGCTCTGAATGTGTGGATTATTTTTTCTGTTAGGATCAAAACGATCAGATTACTCCTAAAAAAGTTATAACCATTTAAATACGCGCAATCGTGATTTTTCAACGTTATCTGGCTGTAATTTTTTGTGGTTTGATTTGATTGGAAGAAGTTTAATGTGAAAATGATACCGCAGATCCAAGCTTTTGATTGATATGAAAATTATAAAAATCGGTTAAGAATTACAAAAGTTATGGTCTAAAATAGGGCCTTATACTTGTGGAGTAACTAATTTTGTTGGAGGATTATGCAGAGGTGAATTTTGGCTTTATTCCTGGCTTGTTTAAAAATGAATAAATTAATCAAGTTAAGGTAAAAAATTTTTTTAATTATATTTTGAAAAAAAAATCACGCATTTTTAAAAAATTAATTTTATTTTTTTTTCACAAATTCCCTTCTTTCTCTTAATATTTTTTTAAACTAAAATACCTTTGGAGAATGGGATTAAAAACGGGAGGAGGTCAAATAAAATAGATCTTTCTTTCTATTCTCTCGTTGTTCTTATGACCTAAATAAATATATATCTCCTTAAATTAAATTAGAGTGAAGGATGATCACTTGTGTATATTTATTTATTTTTAAAAAATCCTTTTATTATTTATTTTAAAATAAATATTTAATTATGTATTTATTTCAATCAACTATTCTCTTATTTTTTGGTAATTAAATTTTAAAATAAAAATAAAAGAAGATAATTTTTTGGTGACTAAAAATGCGTGGTTTTTCGATTAAAACTAAAAAAAATTTGCTTTCAAAAAATTCAAATTTTTTTTTAAAATTTTTTAGTCGTTTCTCTAACAACATGTTCATCTGAATATCTCGGAGTATCTCTAGGCTCTCTTCAAAATTCATCCTTCCCAGGCATTTCAGGCAATGTGTGGCTGGCTAACTCGACAACTTTACAAATTAATAATTTTAATATAGAGCCACATCAAAGTTTGTTTTTTTTTTAAATTAAAAAATTGTTTTTTAGAACAAGAATTAATATTTGCCTTCATTTCTGAAGAAGCTGTTGAACCAGTTAAATTTTTGTATAAAGTGGCTGGGGAAAATAATGGAGAACAAATGTTATTCCCTATGTAAGGTTTAATTATTAAAATTTGATAAGTTGTGTGGTGGTGTAATGGTTAAGCGTCTTGGTTTTGTTGGCGAGGGGTGGTGGGTTCGAATCCCGCAGATGGAAAATCGTTTTTATTTCACCTAAAAAATTTTTTTCTTGTAAATAAATAATATACACAATGCCAAATTAATAAAAAAATTTTTGACCGCAAAATAAACAGAAAATGTTAAAATTTATATCAAAAACACACTAATTCAAAATCGCCGCTAAGTCTCGAGGTTATATTTTGGGCCATAACTTTTTTGATTCCAGGCCAATTCGAATGATTTATACATCAATCGAAAGCTCTGGATGTGGGGATTATTTTATCTAGCAGGATTAATTTAATCATATCATCCTAAAAAAAGTTACGGCCGTTTAAGTGCGCGCAGTCGTGGTTTTTCAATTTTATTCGGCTCTAACTTTTGGTAGGATTATCCTATCAACTCAATCCTGCTAGATAAAATAATCCTACCATCAAGAGCTTTCGATTGGTATAAAAATTATTTAAATCGGTTAAGAATCAAAAAAGTTATGACCCAAAATATAGTCTCAAAACTGGCCTTTACCCAAATAATTTTTTAAAAATTTAAAGGAAAAGACGTTTGGATGGCGGACTTTCTGAACATCGTCTGGTAGCAATTGCTCCACATGGCACAACTATAGATCAATGGAAAAGATTCGGATTGGTGACAGGGAAGAGCAAGGTTATTTTAAATATTTTTTAGGGTGTCTAGGTCAATAGGTTTGGGGTGGGCGTCCAGTAAATCCCTCCAAAGGTCTATAAATGGATAGACTAGGCATACTGGGATTGGGGCATGTCCATACCGACCATCAAAAAATTTTTCCTAGGTCTCAAAAATTAAAAAGATTTTTTTCAAAAATTCCCACGCCTAAAATCAATTTATAGTGAAAAAAGCACCTTACACAAAATTAGAAAAAATTAAAAATAAATACTTAGAAAATACTATATTTAAATACTATCCTCTCCAGCAGAAGATTCACTATCGTCAATTAATTTATTTGATATTCTTAATAATTTGGCTTCTTCCTCCAAATTTCTATTATTATTGTTGGTCATTAATCGATTAGTTGTTGAAGTAGAATTTAATTCATTCCAAAAAGTTGAGGCCTGGGAAAATCTGGGTCTGTCTGGGAGACGATTTCTGCCGTTTCTCCAATTGAAGTGGAAATAGAGAAAACTGAAGAAAAAAAATTTTTTGGAAGAGTTTTTCTAAGAAAATTTCAAAAAACCTCAAAACAATAACTACACAAACACCAATGTTTGTGTATAAAATAAATGTGTGAAAGAATGAAGAAGGTTGAGAATCCATATTACCTGAAAAAAAGGATAAAAAGTTTTAAAGAAAAAAAAAACAAGAAATTTCCCCAAGTTTTCCCATGTTTTTAAGGGGAAAAATGTGAAATAGAGAGTGTCTCTCCTGTTTTTGTATAGTCTCTCTTTTCGGTATCTCTGTTTTTGCTTAGTTTGTTTGTTTGAATTTAGGTAAGAGAACAATATTAAAAAGAGTGGGAAAACTAAGAGTGTATTAGAGAGTAAAATTAAAAGAAACATTGGGTGGGGGAGTTTGTTATATTACAGTAGGCAGGCAGACTTTCGTGTCGAAAATTTAATTTTAAATTAAAAAATATTTTTTTGGTTCTTTTTTTGTTTTTCGTTATTCAGAGTCTTTTCTTGTTTCTTTTGTTTCTTTTAATTTTTTAATTTTAGAAGCAAGTATCAGTTGTACAACTAGACAAGCCTATCCCACAAAAATTTTGCTGCCTCAAAAACAACGAAAAACCAGATCAAGGAGTAATTGGAGATCATTACAATGCAGCAACTGGCCCAATTTTGGTTGAAGACTCAAAAACTCTAGTAATCCAAAAATTTTCTTTGGAAGCTAACAAAGCGCCAGGTACTGGATTTAATGGATTATCAAAGAAATTTACTCTTAAAGATGCCTGGATATTTGCTGGAAAGGGAGATGTCCGCCCATCTACAGGCAAAAAAGCAATGGTTATTGGAAGGGACAGCTTGAATAAACACTGCTCATTGCGTGAATACTACTCCGGGGAAAATGATTTACGAGTACGCCTTGCACCTGGACAGGATATTTATCAAGTGGACTATTTGAGTTTATTTTGGTAAGCATATAAATTTAAATTAATAAAATTAATTAAGAGTCTTCTTGGTGTAGTCGGAAACGTTCGGGTTTCTTCAGTAGGGGTCGAGGGTTCGAATCCCACTGGTGGAAAAACATTTTTATTTTTAAGAGGAATTAAAATTTATTAAAATTTAAATAAAAATAAATTTAAAATTAAATTATAAATTTTTTAAAGTTATCAATACGACGTCGATTTTGGCCATGTCTCTTTCCGACTTGATCCCAAAGAAAATCCTGTTCCTGCTTTTATCCCAGAACTGGCAAATACAATTACTGCAAACAAAGGAGATCCGGAACTTTTGGAAAATAATGATTTGGAAGGAAGTTGTTGAGGTAAAAGAAATTTTGAGTTGTGATTTTTTAAAATTTACTTTATATTTAATTTGTAAATGTTTTATATATTTATTAAAAATTTAAATATCCGCGTAATTTTGGCAAAATGCTTTATTTAAAATAGGTGACATCTTGCCTTCCCATTTGAGTCTTGCTTTAGTGCATTTTTCTCTTTGAGACATTTTGGCACAACTATAGCTATGTGGTATTTTGTCGCACATAAGCTAGTTCTATTTTGTCGTATTTTACATATGAGGCATTCTGTCGTACTTTCAACTTTGAGATATTTTGTCGTATATAGTTTATGAGGCATTTTGTCACACATCAATTAAGGGACATTTTGTCGTTTTTAGACTATAGGCATTTTGTCGAATTCAACAAAATTTTTAAAAATTATTTTTTTCCAAAAAATCAATACTAATCGATATAATCAATAAAATCGATAATCGATTTTTTCAAAATTTTTAAAAATTATTTTTTTCCAAAAAATCAATACTAATCGATATAATCAATAAAATCGATAATCGATTTTTTCAAAATTTTTAAAAATAATTATTTTCCAAAAAATCAATACTAATCGATAAAATCAATAAAATCGATAATCGATTTTTTATTAAAAATTCAAAATTTTAAAAAACCAAAACACGAAACATCTAAAATTCAAAAGACCCATATTTATGCATAAAAAATATATTTTAAATTCAACAAAAAAATAAAATTCTGATTTTTGGAATGGCAAAACTGGCACACATGGAGCACTAAAATAAAATATTGTGTACCTAAATACGAGATAAAAATATAAAAAAATTAAAGGATTTGCACCGAAAAATTGTTAGAAAATAATGGAATTTTAAGAAAGGATTTTTAAAGCTACGAGGTTAAGGGAGAGTATAATCATAGATAGGGTTGCCAGATCGATCGACTCGAGGCTTCAAAGGTCTACCGAAAAATCCAAGTTAGAAATCCGAACGATACTGATCGAAAAATTCAAGCCGAAAAAACGTTTCGCCCATGAGCCTCAAAAAATGGCAACCCTAACAGCTATTAAATAAAATTTTAAGAAACCGTGGGAGGACGGAAATATCTTCTCTTTTCATCGCTATTTTCTTCTTCATCAAACAATACATTGAGGTTGTGAAGCTAACAAGGTTTCTCGATGACTCATCTCTTCTAATTCTAATGCCTTTAAAAATTAAAAAAATAAATATTTAAAGAAAAAAATCCCATACCCTAATAGATTCTTTCTCCAAAGATTCCAATTGTTCGTTATGTTTTTTCTCTAATTGATCTTCATGCCGTCTACATCTTGTAGCTAATCTTTTCCTTTCTTCCATAAAAAGCTTTAAAAAAATTAAGATTTTAGAAAGAAAAAATTTTTTGGAGGTCAAAGGATGTTAAAAAAATTTTTTTGAATGCTAAAGTCCCTTGAGGATAAGTTATATGTCAATAAATAAAAATAAAAGAAAAACAAAAATAATTGGACCGGAGCGGAATCGAACCTCGACAAAAATAGGGCAAAGTCAGAAGTGCTAACCATTACACCACAACTGAACTTAACTCAAATCTTAAAATAAATTATATAACTTAAGTGAGAAAATGGTTCGAAAGGACTTTTTGGGTGTTCTTCCGCAGTAGTTCTAGTGTTAATCCCCAAATTTAAAAAATTCTCAAAAGGATCCCAAGACTATATACTCCCCCAAAAAATTAATAAATTTAAAAAAAAACCTTCAAATTTCTTTCATTCAATTCTTTTATTCTTCTATCCCTTTCAGCTTTAGTTTTGATTACTTTATCCTGTTGTACTGCTCGAATATCTTCCATACTCTTTTTAGTTTGTGCTTGCTTCAATTCTCTATTTTCCATTTCAAATCTTGATTTTAATGCTAATTGTTGTTGTTTTTGTCTTCTGAAAAAAATTTTTTTTGAAATTTTTCCCTTTAAAATAGTTCCCATACTCTGTCAATATTCTCCTCAAAAGTTCATATTCCTCCTTTGTATGTAATTTACGTTGTTCAAATTGTTCAATTTCTATTCGTTTTATTAATGTTGACCATTCATCTGTTTGGTTTTGTATTAATGAACGAATCTAAAATTTTTTAAAAAATTATTAAAAAAAATTAAAATAAAGGGAAAGGAGGAGGGGACACAAACAACAAGAAGGATATCCCAAAAATGACTGAAAATACTCCCCAAAAAATGTGTCCCACAAAATTAATCTCAAAAATTAAGCTTTTGAGGCTATCTCCCGATTAGCTCATAAAGAATCCCTTCCTCTCTCTCCCCCCAAAAATTTTTCTCTAAATTTAAAAAAACCCAGCAATAATACAAGACAAGAACAGCGAGACTGGATATACTCCCCAAAAATTTCAAAAAAATTATTAAAATAATTTTCTGAAGCATCCTTTTTGGTAGGTCAAAGAGAAAATCCCCTCCTCTTCCCTCCCCTCAAAAATCCAAAAATAAATTTTTAAAAAAATACCAAAGAATCTCCACCCATATGTACAGGATCAGATATTCTATTTCCAAGAGAAACATGTCTAATTTTGTTGGCTTCACCAGCATCTGTACTTGCATTATTTGGATGATTTCTTCTTTTTAAAGATAATTTTGTTGTTAAAATATTTGTTGTAGTTGATGCATTCCCAACCAATTTTTCAACACTTGATTGTTGCGATTTTAATACATTTTCTCTCATTTTTTGATGTCGACGACGCATTTCTTCTTTATCTTTTGAAATTCTTTTTTGTAATTTTAAAAAAACTTTTTCTTTTCTCAATTCTGTTACTTCTATATTTTTAACCTGAAAAAATGAAAAAAATTATTAAAAGAAAAAAAATGTTGAGGGAAAGAAAGGGTAGAAAGAAATATTTGCGGACAAATAATGCGGACATTATAAAAATTAAAAATTATTCGGTGTTTAAAGGTATTTTCTTGATCTTTTAGCGCGCAAAGTTTTGTCCGCAAATAGAATAAAAATGAGTCAAAAAACGGGGAATTAAAAATTCAGAAAAATTTTTTAAACAATTTTCTTAAAAGAGATAAAATAATTAACATGATATAATTTTGAAAAAAATGTGGGAATGTACAAATTAGAGGTCGGCGCGGGACGGGATCCCGCGCGGGATTTTGCGGGATCCCGTCCCGCAATCCCGCACTTTTTTCGATTTGCGGGATTTTGCGGGAATGCGGGATTTTGCGGGATTTATCCCGCGGGATCCCGTCCCGCAAAGGTTTAAAAAAAAATTCATCCCGCGGGATCCCGCAAAATATTTTGAATTTTGCGGGATTTTTGGAAAATGGAGGATTTTGGCTCCTAACCTTCTAAATTCAAAAAATTGTCGCCTGCGGCGCAAGAAAAAGGAGAATTTTAGCTCGCTGGCCTTACTAAAATCTCGAAATTTTTGCCTGCGGCGCTGAAGAAGGAAGGAATATTGATACTTGGCCTTCCAAAAATTTCGGCTGTCGCCCAAGGAATCATCACTATTTCATCAAAACAAAATTGACAAATTGTTAGATCACGATGATTGATCCCATTTGTTTCAGCTCAAGCTATTTTAACTCGTATACTCGAACTCGTATACATGTCCCTTATGATTTTTTGATAATTAGGGACCGGTGATAAGTGCATTTTTACCAACTTGTACTCGTAATTTGGTACTAAGTACGATACGTGTACGAGCAACGAGTACGAGTTAAGAACCCGTTATTGATTAAAAAATTGATATGAAATCAAAAAACACTTAGGTCAAGGATTTGTATTGAGCAAAACACCATATTTTTGCCGTTTTTCGTCAAAAAATCGCGTTTTTTCGATTTTCAAAAAATCATATCTCCGTTCCGGGAAAAGATATTTCTAAGCGGTTTTGTGGTAAATACTCACAAAAATATGCTTTATCAAATGGGTTTGTTAAATTTTTTGCGAAAAATTTTTCCGAGGATATGGGATTTGGTATATCCTGTAGATCCGGATTATCTCGGCCAATTTTCATTTTCATGGAAAATGCAGAAACATGTCAACTGAGATACAAATAGAGCTTTCGATTGCTATATAGAACGTATTTTTTGAATAAGATTGCATAAAATTATGAACAAAAAACAAGTGTGCATAAACATATGCACCGCAGTGTATTTATTAAATTTTCTTTTTTTTTCAATTGAGATTGATCATTTTAGCGATTTTTGAAAAATCCCGCAATCCCGCGCGGGATCCCGCAAATTTAAAATGCGGGATTTTGCGGGAATGCGGGATTTTGCGGGATTTATCCCGCGGGATCCCGTCCCGCAAAGATTTTATAAAAAATTTTATCCCGCGGGATCCCGCAAACACGATTTTGCCGACCTCTAGTACAAATACAAGAGATATAAAATGGATAACAAGACAAATGAGAAAGAAAAGAAAATTTATTGGATAAAAAAATTTGGGTACAAAATTTTGGAAGATTAAAAATTTTAAAAATGGGGAGGAATAGTACTACCAACGACACACAACATGATGGATGACTAGTTTTCGTTCGAAAAAAAACCTCAATAGTTTTTCAAAGAATAACACTTCCAGAAGTTATAGACGGCCCTCCAAATTGTTGTTGTTGTTGTGATGAAGATGCTTGATTATTTCCAATACGTCGATCACTAAATCTTCTTCCAACAGGACTTTTTGAGAGAGAACAGAAAATAATTTTTAAACAAATAAAAATCTTACTCAAAACGCAATGAATTTGACATTTTTCGACACTTTCTGCCTGGTTTCTCTCCACTTTCATCTGTTAAAGTAGAACGAACCAAAGCGCTAAGAGCTCTTCTAGGAGGTGGTGGAGTGTCCTTTCCCGCCAAAACGCGTGAGGAAAGACGTGATGGAGCCAAAGCTATAGCTACAACTGTATCACAACTGGATAATAAAGGGACCAATTCTGTGACGATTGGAGATGAACCAATGAAATTTCCGTCAGTATTATTTTCCAAAAAATGTTGATGAGGACGACCAATAGTAAAACAAGGAGAAAACAAGAATTTAAATTTAGCGAGTCCTCGACGTTTTTCCCAAAGAAAAAAAAGAAAAAAGGGTGTTTAGAAAAATTAAAAAGGAGATGAACAAAAAAAAAGAATAAAATAGAAGCTTAAGCTAGAGAGAAAGAGGCAAGAAGCGAGCCAATCCCAAAAAGAGAAAAACCCCAAGAAACCTCTCAGATTAAAAAAACCAAGAAAAAATCCCTCCTTCAAAATAAACCTGAAATTTTCCATCAATAGTAGTTGTTGAATATCCATCTGTAGTCATAGGTATAGTTGTTCGAGGAGTACTACCACCAGAAGTAATGACAACAATTGATTGGGAAGAATCTTTTCCACACATAAGAGGGGATTGATTTGAAACTAGTCTTCCACTAAAATTTTTTTTAATTTAAAAGTTCAAAAAGTTCCAAAAAATAAACCTGTCTAACGAATTAATTTGTGTAGAAGAAGCCAAATTAGTAGAACAACCACCATTTTGTGCTGCTACTCTTCGAATACTTGCATTTCCATCAAAGTTAGTTGAAGATGAGGATTTTGCTGTTGTTGTTCTTCCTCCAGAATCTGCCCCCACGGGTGCCAACAACTCTTCCATTTCATCGACACACATTTGTTGTAAAGCTTCTTCACGCTTTTCTTGAGCAGAAAGATAGGCTCTGAAGAAAATTTTTTTTTAAATTTTCAAAAAATCCAGAAAAAATTTTTCAAAAAATTTTTTTCTTATTAAAAAATATGAACTTTGGATCAGCCAATGCATCAACAAGTCCACTCAATTCATCTGGAACATAAGTTTTTAATTGTAGATGAACAAATAGAGAAGGAAGAGTTAATGGTTGATTCTACAAAATTAAAAAAAAATTAATTTTAAAATTACAAAATACATTTTCAGTCCGCAAAGAAATATGGCGATAACCAGATTGAAGGCCATCTAAAGGTAGTATCCGCTGAAATTAAAAAAATGAAAAAATTAAATTATGGTGTAGTTGGATAAATTTAGGTTTCCTCCACAAAAGGGATAAAAGTTCGAACCCTTTTGGCAGTAATTAATTTTTATATGAGGGAAAACATAGAAATTAATCAAAACTAAAAGAAAACCCTTCCAAAAAATATTAAAAAAAAATTTTTAAAAAATCAAAAAAAAAACCTGTCCCAATTGTTTTCCACTATCATCATAAACAGCAAAACGCAAAACTGCCAATTCAGGTAAAATGACTTTGCGAAAAACAAAAGGTTCTTCATTGTATACAGGAAATAAGCTGTTGGCAGGGACTAGACGTGAGCGATGTTCTTTTCTAATTGTATCCGTTGGTAATCCATACATTTCGACTTCCTTTAAAAGAAAAATTTTTTAAGACCCTCTCCAATTGTAAGTATTTACCACATAAGTTCCGGCTTTACGTTCACACAAAAATTGACCAGAAATTATCTTTAAAATTGATAAACAATTAAAAAAAATCGATTATAAAAATATACCCTAACAGAACAATGAGCAGCAATTACACCATCTACAGGCGATTCAGAAAAAGGATCAAAAGTTCGGTCTGGACGTCGCATAAAATCGGGTTTGAGTAAATACCTTTAAAATTAAAATTTAAAGATTTTTAAATAAATTTAAAAAATACCCGCATTGATCATTATATTCAAATTTTCCTTGATTTAATTGTATACAAACATCGGGTGTTTGAAAATTTAATGCCGCCATTTGACACCCAGCATTCCAAAAAATCTAAAAAAATTTAAAAAACGATAAAAATCACAAAAATTAAATGAAATTAAAATCGAAAACGGAGAGTTGAGGAATGATCGTAAAAAATCAAGATATCATATTCGAAAAATATCGATCTCAATAACTTAAGAGTTCTGTTCGAGATCTTGACACGATCCAGTTATACCAGTTAAAAAAAAAGAAGGACTTTAAGTGGAGATCATTATCCAATTAAATTAAATAAAAAAAATCTAAAAAAACCTGTGGAAGAAAATTACTAGAATCAACACGAGCACCTTTTGGATATATTCTACTTAATTGCCTTTTATTGTAATTAACCCATTCTGGAGCACATTGCCTTAAAAACAGAAATTTTTTACTTAAAATTTACAAAAATTGAATACTTTATTAAATTCAGCCCAGTACTTTCAGAAAATGAAGACCTTAAAAATAAAAATTTAAAGAATAAAAAAATTCCGAAAAATAAACATGTGAAAATGAAGATTATTTTGTTCAGCAACATCAAATCCAGAAAATTTGACTGGATGTGTATAACACACCAATGAAGACAATAATGGGTGAATGTTGGTTGTAGCACCTTGGTAATAATAACTTTCTTGGACCTAAAAAATAATTTTTAGGGCTAACAAATTTTCAAAAAAAAATTTTTTGAAATTCAAAAATTATTTTCCATATTTTTTTAAGTTTTCACAAAAAATTTCATTTTTGGTGTAGTGGGATAATTTCAGGTTTCCTCTACAAAAGGGATCGGGGTTCGAACCCTTTTGGTGGTAATTAATTTTTAATGTTGGGAAAAATTGAAAATTAGTCAAAATTATGAAAAATACATCCAAAAATAATTTAAAATTTTTTAAAAAACATTTTTCAAAATTTATTGAAAAATAATAATTAAAATTCCTCACCATTTTGATAAGCCGTTCCTCTTCTTCTTTAGACAAAACCGGCTTTAAAAGAAAAAATTAAATAATTTGAATTATTATTAAATTAAAAATTAATAATTCTGAACTTAGGAGAGAGTAAAAAAAGCAAACTTAAAATTTTATGGAAGGTAACCAAAATTTTTTATGAAGAAAATAAAAAAGCGTGCCATTATAAAAATGTAACATAAGAATATTTAAAAAAATAAAATTAAAAAAAACCTAAAAAAAGAAAAGGCCAAAAATAATATAAAAAAAAGCGGCCATGGATGTGGAATAAAAGGAGAGAAAAAGAAAAGCAGCAGAACACACCAATAAAAATTTTCAAATAAAAATTCCAAAATAAATAAATATGAGGGAAATTAAAAAAAAACAAGAAGAAAATGACCAAACTAGAGAACAGACTGATCGAAACTAATCTATAGTAAAACAACAAATAAACAAATACAAAACAACCTTTTGTTTAGCAGGCCTTCTTTCTAACAAACTTCCTCTCTTTCCTCCATGTTGTGTATTAGCATCAACTAAAGCAGCAGCTGTTGAATGATCTGTTCCTCCTCCTCCTCCACTTTGAATACAAGGACGTCGAAAAGAACGTTTTTCACCTCTACCACTAACTAAATGAAGTAAAGAAGATGAGGAAGGGGTTGTTGTTGAAGTTGAAGAATGATGTTGAGAAGAAGAATGACCGCTACCACTATTCCTTTGACGGACAAATTCATGGCCACCAACACCCTCGTTATTTGGACGTTCCTAATTTTTTACTGATATTTTTTGTTGTGAGATTGACAAGAAAAAAATATAGAGAAAGATTAAGAAACAAGAAAGTTGAAAAAAATTTTAAAATGGAAAAAATTTTAAACTAGAAAAAATAGACTAGAATGAAGGAAAGCTATTTCAAAAAATAAAAAATATAAAAAAGAGGTTAATTTTGCATGGTTAGATAAGGCTTAAAAAATAGACCAAAAAAATTTTTAATCTAGCATAAAAACATTCCCCACCCTCTCAAAAAAATTTTTAAAAAATTAAAAAAATCAAAAAACCTGTACTCTCCTGTTAAGCCCCAACGGCTGCTTTAATTTACTAATAATTCCAGGAGGTTGTTGTTGCTGACTACTTGTTGTAGCAACATTAATACGTGCTGTTGACTGTCCACTTGCACAATCTTCAGCTTTTTCAACTTCAAAAAATTTTTCAAAATTAATTTCAAAAAATAAAACCGCTAGCTTCCTTGGAAGATTGTTGTTGTTGATTTTCTATTAAAGCAACAGTAGAATTATGCCTAGAAGGGACATTTGAAAGAGAAGAACGATGTTGTTGCTGCCCACTTCCTCCAAGATTTAATAAATCAAAAGTATTAGAAAGTGAAGCACTTGAGACAGTTGGTCCCAATTTAGATTTTTGATGTTGTTTTTGTTGATTATTGAGTTTTTCATCTTCAAAATGTGATCTTTCTGAGGCTGAAAAAATAAAAAGAATTAAAAAAAAATAAAAATAAAGGAAAGTTACTGGAAAAATTTTTTATAAATGAAGGAAAACAGAGAAAATTGAGACAAAAAAAAAGAAAGACAGAATAAAATCGGGAAATTAAAAATTAAAAAATAAACATTGGCAAGACGTAGTCAAACAAAATTTAAAAAAATAATTTTAAAGGAAAAGACAGAGAAGGGGTTGGGGAAAAGATTAAAGAAAATTTAAGAAAGAGAGGTTAGTCAAAGAAGTTAAGAAAAATTATTTTCAGAAAAAAAAGATTCCAACAGGGGAAAAAACAACAAATAACAACAACAATCACAAAAATTTCAAAAAGACAGAGAGGGGAAACAGAAGAAAAAAACTTTTTTTCTCATTTTTTAACAAGCCTCCTCTAGAAGAAGGTCGATCAGACGATCCAATAATTGTAGAAGCTGGTCTCAAATCTCCTTTAAGCCTTGCCAATGTAAGTGCTTGATAAAGTTTAGCCCCCAAACCATCAGGTCTTTTAGACAACAAAAAATCTGTTAGGGAATGACGAGGAGAAGAACTTCCACTGGCACAATGAAGATTTGCAGAAGAACTATAGAAAAAGAACTTCAAAAAAATTTTTCCAAAAAAATACCGAGATGTTCCAATAAACGGACTTAAACGTCCTGAACTTGTTCGTCGATGACGCGGATCGTTGATATTATTTATTGAAGAACGATTACTATTGTTGTTGTTGTTATTTGAAATTTCATCAACCAAAATAGATGCCAAAAGTGCTGATCCTTTTTTTGTATTATTTTTAAAAATGAAGGAGGAGAAAAATAAGAGAGAGAGAGAATAAAGTAGAATTTTAGACACCCAAAAATGAAAATGATGAGAAGAAAAAATATTTAAAATGAAGAGATTTGAAGATTAAAAGATACATTTTTAATAAAAAAAATTAATAAAAAGTTTAAAACATTTTGTAATAAAAATAGAAATCGGTCTGGATCTAAACCCAGATCATTTTCATGGATTCAGAGTTTTTTAAAAGAATTTTTCAGTAATCCTTGATTTTTACTTAACTCAAGGTTAAGAATCTCGGTCAATGTCCTCGATTAATTGGCTAGGGGAAGGTAATGGAATGCCAATTAAAAACAAGAATCAAGATCATAAAAAATTTTCTGCTCTCTACGGAAAATAATTTTTTAAGGAAAAAACGAACGTGGAGAAAGAACCTGTCCACTACCACAACTATCATCAATATTAGTTGTTGTTGTAGTTGTTTCTGCTTCACTTCCAACATTTCCTTTTTGTTCTATTGCAGATTCTGATTGTTCATCTTCTTCATCTAATAACCGTCCTTCTCTTCTAAATTGTTCCATTTGACGTTGTTCATCTTCTGGCTTCAACCTTTTATTTTTAATCAAAATTTTTCTTTTTAATTGGCTAGGGGAAGGTAAAGGAATGCCTGGCTCCAACTTAAAATTAAAAAAAAAGTTTTCGAAAATTTTTCCCAAAAAAACCTCATGTCCTTTAATTGGCCCAGTTAGCAACATTTCATCAAAAATTTCCAAACAATATTTTGCCATTTTTAATTGATTAGATTTTGAGCAATGATTTTCAAAAGAAAGAATTACTGGCCATTCAGAACGCAAAAATGCTGTTTCTTTTATTTGTACAAGCACATCTTTGAAAAAAACGTCTGTACACATTGCTTTTCCTTTAAAATTGAACAGAAAATTGAAAAATTTTCAAAAAAAACCATGTGTAATTATAGGTTCTCCTTTATTTTCTCCAGTTCCATCCCAACAATCTAGTTCGATACATCTGCACCCAGACAGCAAAACTTGACGATAAATTTCTGTTGAACTTTTGCCTCCATATTGACGTCCAGTTAAATAAGTATTGTGAGAACTGTAAATATTTTTTATGAAAAATTTTTCTGGTCTTTTTAAAAATTGTGTTGTTACATAAAAATTTTAAATTCCAAAGGTTTTCAAAATTTCCTTCGGACCGGTTTCGGAGTTCATATCCAAAAAATGACTGAGTTCAGGTATCCTGTCCCATTCCTATCATAAAGACAAATTAATTTTACACCAAACACATCATTAAAGAAAAAATATTCTTCCGGACATTCTTTGTCAGGTGGGATCAAATGTCCCCCTCTTAAATAATTTATAAAATTATAAACCTATTAATAAAATAATGACACAAAGGTTGATCCATATCTTGATGTCGTTCAGTTCTATCAAGAAAAACTGGAGAATTTTCTTCTGACAATAAAAAACGCAAAAATCCATCACCAGACATTTTACCTGAAATTTAAAAAAATTAAAAAAAACTTTAAAAATAAAAAAAAACCTTGTGTAATATAAGATTCATCAGTTTCGTATTTTGCAATGAGTGAGTTAACTCTATCAACATCAAAATTTGGGAAAAGGATTTCATTAAGACGTGGATCTCGTTGTTCATCGTTTAAAAACTTAAAAAAAAAATTTCAAAATATTTCAAAAAATTTAAAAAAACTAACCATCATCAGCCTTTCTCTTGTCAAATATTCTTTTTGTCCAGACCTAAAAAATTAAAAAAAAATTTTTTTATTTTACAAAAAACCATACAATTTAACAAAAAGTTCTTGAATATCTGTCCGTGGGCTAATTTTGTGGTAGAGACGAAGAAATTTGTCAAAAGTGAAAAGAACGACATCCAGGTCTTCACGCTCCTAAAAAAGAATTGACAAAAATTAATTAGGACCTTAAAAATTTTTTTCTTCCTTAAAATTAACAAAGATCAGCTTACAACCACAGCAATTTTAAAAAATAAAAAAACCACACAAAAAACAGCAACAAACCTTTCCTCCATGTTTAACACGTCTAGCATCTTCCCTTTCCACAGAAGTCCCATATTGATAAAAACTTGAAATTTTACGGGCCAAAAATCCTTTTTTGTGTCGATAGGACTTGTTATTGTTGTTTTTCCCATTGTATTCAACCAATTTTCTTTCCTTGTGTAGCAACGGACATTTATTCTTCCTAGAATTGGAACACATTGGAGAGTCTGTAGAACAGGAAAAAATTTGTTCAAATGAAGCTTGACAAAGACTAAATGATGATGACGAATTTGTTAAACCACAACAGGAAGGCCAAAACACAAAACAAAATTTATTATTATTAAAAAAAGGAACAAAAAAAGTCCGCAAATTTTGTCCTCAAGCTACAAAAAATTTTTATTTTTAAAAAATTAAATAGAGCATGGGGTCATTTAATAGTAGCAGTTTCCAGCTCGAATAAGAATGTGATTCAAAGGCAAAGACAAGAGGTCATTTTATGGTGGGCCAGTTACGGATAGTACAATTATATTCTACTAGAGGTATGAACTGCAGAAATTAAAATTTGCCGACTTTTTGGAAGGATAAAAAATAACAAACCAAACACTTAAAAAACACAAAAAAACTCAAACAAATAGACAAAAACAAAAAAATTAAAAACTTTTCTCACCTTATCGCCAGAAAGTCCCAAATCAGCAAGGCACTTATGCACCATTTTTTCAGGTTTTCCACTAGCAAAGGTACGAACTACGTTTCTTAGAGGAATACGTCCTCTTTCATTTGTTGATAAACAAAGATAGCGCCAACTTAAAAAAATTTTTTAGAAAATTTAAGGCAAAATAAAACAAACTGTTTTTGAAGGCATTGCATGGGACAGGCAAAACGAATTTTATAGGTCCTCAAAAATTCATTAATTGATTCTCGCCAAGTCTAAAATTTAAAATAAAATTCAAAAAATATTTAAATAAAAACCTTTGCAATTTGTGAAGTGGCAGCAACAAAGTAGAGATTATTGACTATAACCTGTAAAAAATTGAAAAAATTTTCCCGTTAAAAATTTTATAAAAAAAAGACAAGAATAACATAAAAATGAGGCAAAGATGGGGAAAATTGGTGAAAAAGTCAGGTCGGATTTCGGATCAAAAGTCAGTGTTACGGGTAACCTCCCGTGTCCAGCACCGATCCATGAGGATTAAAGAGAAGGCTATAACTTCGTCCCGACCTTTCCATTTCAAAAATCGAAAAGTAAAATTTCTTGTAGAGGAATCCCAGCTTTAATTTTTTGGCCTCTTCCCCGAAAAAATTTTTCTCATAAAATCCACAGAAATCAAAAGAAAAATACCAAATCCTGTCCATAAGTTAACCAAACTATTCTAGAATCCAAAGGATCTAAACTGACTACATTTTGAGTTAATTTTGCACGTTGTTCCAATTCTGCTACAATACGCAAATCTTTGATGTTTCCACCAGTTGGTCTTGCCTCCCAAAGCTAAATTGAGGAATTTATTTTAGCTTTCAATTAGTGCAAAAAACGGCAAGCATTTGCGGACAACTACAAAAAACATTCAAGAAAAGTTTCACTTCTGGAGACACATGGAAAAAGGACAAAATTATGAGATTAAAGAATGGCACTGGACACGAACCAGCCGATTTTCTGTAGGACCCACAATTAACTATAAATTTCGGGTTGTCCGCAAATATGTTTTACGCAAGAAATTATAAAAATGATATTTCCGAATACCCCAATTTTTAAAAATATTTTAATAAAAGTTAATTCCAATTAAAAAACCTGTGCCAAATCCAACACCCCAGCTTCTTTTCCTCTAGCCTCCCAAACAAGAAAAAAACCATATTCATCTACTCGAAGAAGACATCCAAAATCTATGCTGCTGCTTTCCTAAAATTAATTTCTTAAAATTTCAATCAAAACTCCAAACCTCATCATATCTATCAAACAAATCTCCTTTAAGTAACACATCTGGAACGCCAATTTTATGTCTCCAGCTCCAATGATCTTTTTCTTTTAACGTCATTTTATGTTATTAAATATACCCGTTTGTTGTTGTTGTTGTTAAGAGATTTTAAAAATTAAAATAGAAGATTTTTTGTTGTTGTTAAAGGAATGAAAAAAAAATTAAAAAAATATTTTTAGAAATTTAATTAAAGTGAAGAAATCTGAAAAAAATTAAGGAGACAAATATATATGGGAATGGAGGAGATATTTCAATGTACGAATAACTACTCAACCAGTTTACCGATCTATTTACATATGGCCATTGGTCTTGGATAAGCAAAAAGTTATTTTTGTCACCCTAATTCCGATATGTTTTCTTCCCTTATGTCCCCACTCATTTGTCTCCATTCCACAAAAAATTTAAAAATTTAAAATAAACTCTTAAAAGTTTGTTTAAAAAAATTTAAAAAATCGATTTCCTCGAAAAATGCGAACAAAACAAACATAACAAGAAAAAACATTTTTTGAGGGAGATTGATGAAAGAAAATAAAATTGGCAACAAAAGAAAAAAGGAAGATTAAAAAAAGGACGAGAGTGTGGGGGAGAAAAAAGAAAGAAAATTGGTTTAAATTACTAGTGAAAAAATAAATTGCGTGTATATTTTTTACATAAAAAATATTGAAAAAATATTAGGAACACAAAGTTTTTATTAAAAAATACTCGAGAGAAGAGCGTAAAATATCCTTAAGAAAATATTAAATAAAAATAAATTCTCGTTATTTCTAATGTTTTAAAAAATAAATTAAATTTTTCAAAGATAAGAGGGAAATAAGGAAAAATCCATTAGAACCAGTGAAAAACCCCAAAAAAATCACAAAAATTTTTCAAAGAAACATGCCTGAAAAATAAAAATTTTGCTTTATAGCCCCAAAAACGTTCCTCCCTCCTAAAATCTAAACAAAAAATGCTGAATAATAACAAATATTTTTTTATTTATTTTTACATTACTCTAAATAGAAGAAAAAAGAATATAATAGAAGTTGAAGTTAAATGATCATTTTGTGGAGGGGAAAAAATCCAAAAGAACAAAATCGATAAAAGAAAAAATAATAAATTTTTTTAAACTTGGTCAAACATTAAAAATTATTTTTCTAATAAAGTTCCCAAAATTTATTGTTCTTTCAGAAAATTTATCTTTTTTAAAAGTTTAATCTTCTCAAAAAAGGAAGTAAAAAAAGAATAAAATATAGACAAACATCCATATTAGAAGAGAAAAAAAATTTATGGGCCCAGTTTTCTATGCTAGCTAAGGAGAAAAAAAAATTTTTTAGGAGGTTAAATAGGAATGGAGCTCTACAGCTACAAACATACAAGCATAAATGAAAAAACTCTCTCTAATATTCACGCATTCTCAACCGCTTACTCAACATATAAGCGTGGATATTAAAAGAAAAGAAGAAAAATATAAATAAAATATTGGCCATAAAAGGTTGAAGGGACAGAAAGACGCGCGTTAAACAAAAATGCAATTACGCTTGAAGGCAAATTTTCATGACGAGAAAGCGGCAAGCATTTTATAAAATGAAAAAAAGCCTTTCTCGCTAAAAAATGCTTGTCGATAAATATTCACAAAAAAGAGGAAGGAAAACTAGAAGAAAATGACAAAAAAAATATATAAATGGACCTTGTTTGAAGAAAAAAGAAAGGCGGCAATTTGTTTTTAGTTGTTGTTTAGTAGTACATTGGCTGTCTCTCGATATTGAACATATATTTAAATTAAATTCTTTATTTTGCCTGAAAATTAGAAAAAAAAGTTGTAGAAACTTGAAGAAATTTTAAAAAAAATTTAAGGAAAAATTGAAAAAAAAATTAGAAAAATTTTGTATGCCAAACGAAGTTGACATTTTGAAATTCTAAACATTAGTCGACATTTTGATATTTAATTAATAAAATAATTTCAAAGTGTCAACTTACAAATAATCTAATTTATAAAATACCCAAAATTTGGTCAAACGAAATTTTAACTTGTAGTTGACATTTTGAAATTAAAAAAGAAAAAAACTTCAAAATATCAACAAGACGGCAAATATCAACTAATCGAAAAAGTTTTAAAGGCAAAAAAACAAAAATAATTTGCGATTAATCCAACGCATTTTTTAAAATCAATTTAAAACAAAATTAATTTTTATCGATATTCACATATAATTTATATTAAAAATTTAAAACAGAAAAAAAAGATTAGAAAGAAAAAATAATAGAATATTTTAATTGTCAAAAATCATCACAACCTATTTTCTTTGTTTTCAATTATTTATTACGCTTTCCACTTCCACCCATTCCACCTAATCCTCCCATTCCGCCACCACCACCACCTACTTGTTTCATCCTAAAAAAAAATTTTTTTTAAAACAAAATTTAAAGGGATCAAATGTCTAATCCTCTTTTAATGACCAAAGTCTCTCTTTAGTGGTGGCCACTAACCCCCATCAAAAATTTGAAAAAAAATTTCTTAAAGCCAAATTTCTTCAAAAGAATTATCCCAATTCTAAACTTATTAAAATTCTTTTCTAAATTCTCTAAACAATACCTCCTCCTTCCCCCCAAAAATTCTTCATAAAAAATTCAAACAAACTCTAAATATAAACACATACATATTTTGTAACCCAGCTAATCCACCCATTTGTTGAAGAACTCTAGGATCCATTATTTTTGCCATTTGTTGATTTAATTTTGTCATTTGATTTGGATTTATATTTTTTGGATTCATCTCATTTCCCTTTAAATTTTCTTATAAAAATTTCAAAAAAAATCCAAAAAAACCTTAAAAAGTCCTTTCATACTTCCCATTTTTTTAACCATATCAGCAAATTTTTTATATTGTGATAACAATTCCTTTACTTCATTTATATTTGTACCACTTCCTTTTGATACACGAATTAATCTGCTAGGTTCTTTTGTAAATAAATCATTAGCTTTTGGATGATCAAGTTCTGAAAAAAATTGGGAAACTTTTTTTCTTTAGTTAAAAAATAACAACTGGGTAGGAATGGTTGGTAAACCCATCAACTTGGTAACTCTATTAGGCCAAGCTAAAAAATACTTTATTTCCCACAATTACTGAAAAAGGGTCCTCGCCGGAATTCCCTAGAGGTTGGAAATAAATCAGTTAAAAAAGGGAGTCAACTTGGATTCTGCGAAACCAGGAAAAAAAGCATCCCCTTCCCTATTATCCCTCAAAAAAATATAAAGAAAAAACCTCCATCAGCCATCGAATCCATTATTGTCATCAATTTTTTCAATCTTGCCATAGATTCTTGTTCATTGCCTTTTGAAAGAAAATCTGAACCAAATCCTGGGATCATACTCTAAAAATTCAAAAAAAAAATTTAAAATTAAATTTAAAAAAACCATAATTTGACCAAACGGTCCCATTTTCATTATATTTTGGAATTGTTCATACATATCCCTCAGAGTGAATTGACCTAAACAAACAAAAAAATTAAAATTTGCCAATTTTTGGCTATTTCGGCGCTGACTCCCAAATCGGTCCTGACGCCCTCCCCCAATCTCGTGGGACTAAAATAGTGAGGGACGGGGGCGTCCTAAAAAGACTATAAAATTCAAAACCTTGTTTAAGCCTCTTTATAAGTTCTTCATTATCCTCCAACCCCATTTCTGAAACTTTTTCAACGAGTCCTTGAATGTCTCCCATTCCTAACTTTAATTAAAAAAAAATTTTTTTTAATTAAAAAAAAATTCCAAACCAATTTTTGCAAAAAAGGTTTAACTTTAAAAAGTTCAAAATCATCTATATGCTCTCCTGTTCCAATAAAAATAATAGAAGAATGGGTTGTTGCGACACTTAAAAAAACTTATTTAATTACAAAATTTTTTCCCTTTCTTACGCTGAGAGAGCACCACCACCTTTTGCATGTCCATCCAATTTTGTAATTATAACAGAACCAATATCTACACAATTTTTGAATGCGCGAGCTTGTGCCTCACAAGCCTAAAATGTTTTGATTTTTTAAATTAAATTTTTAACTAGACTATAGGTCGGCATCAAGGATGGGTCCCTCCTGCGTTTAAAAATGTCGGTGGAAGGGTCCAAAAAAAAGAGGAAAATTCTGTGAAATCGAAAGAATGTTCACGCTCACGCTGAATTTTTTGGAAAAAAATTTTAAGAAAAATAATCCCACAAAACGATATTGCCTACCTCTAATTTTAACTAAAAAAAGAATAAACCTGTCCGATAGATGCATCCATTACGAAAATAACATTATCAGGTTTCTAAAAAATTTTTAAATTAAAAAAATTTCAAAAAATTTTTAAATTCTTTGGTTTAGTGGGAAAGTTTTGTGTTTTCTTCCTTTGAAGCCGTGGGTTCGAACCCCATCATTGAAAATTTTTTAGTTTTAAATCTTTAGACTAATAGAAAACCGACTTTTATTTAATTTTGAAAAATTTCAAAAATTTAAAAAATAAAAACAAACTATAGCATTTGAAACTTGTAACATTTCTTCAAATAAAGCCGCCTCTTGTTTATGCCTTCCAGAAGTATCGACTACAATTAATTCAAAACCATCACGCTTAAATTTTTCTACACCATTTGCTGCAATAATAACTGGGTCAACTTCTGAGTAACTAAAGAAATATTTTTTAAAAATTGTGAAATCTTCAGATTAACTATGGCAGATCTGGTCCAGACACTAAAAGCTTAACTTATGCCCTCGACCCATGGCAAAAATCTAACCCTTCCTCACCACGAAATCCGACTTCAGACATCCTCGACAAATTGTAAAACAGAGGCCTTTTTTCTTTTCTTTTCAAAAAATATTTTACAAATACAAACCTTCCATAAAAAGGTATCCTCGCTTTTGTAGCATTTTGTTTTAACTGATCAAAAGCACCAGCACGAAAAGTATCAGCACAAACCAGACATGTTTTCCAACCCTTCTTTTGATAGTAATAGGCCATCTGAATTTAAAAAATTTTTTAAATTAATTTTAAAAATGGGAAAAACAACTCATAGAGGAGAATGATAGGGAAAATTTTCAACTTTTTTTTTTCAAAATTCAACGAAAATTGCCCTAATGCTTTACCATCTCAAAGGAAATAAATTCCCCAAAAAATTTTCGGCACTTTATAAATTTAACTTCAAACCTTTGTACAAGTTGTAGTCTTTCCAGCACCTTGAAGTCCTACGAACATTATAACATTTGCCTTCCCTTTGACTGGCTGATATGGAGCAACACCAGGATCAACTTTAAAAATTTTTTTAAAAGAAAAAAATTAAAAACAAAACCTAATTTCAATAATTCTTGGAAGACTGACCGCTGAATAAGACGTCTTTTATTTACACCACCAGCCATTTCTTCAAAATCTATGGCTTTCCTAAAAGTTTAAAAAACAAATTTTCAATAGAAAAAATTAACAAACCTTACACTCTCTCGTAATTGTTTGACTAACCGAACATTTACATCTGACTCAATTAGAGCTGAACAAACCTCCTATAAATTTATTTTTAATTAAAATAAAAGCAGGAATCTCAGGAATCTGAGATATTTAAATAGTTTCGGGCTGGAACAGGGATGGACTCGAAACACGATCTTTTCTCGATTGAAGAAAAATTTGAAAACCAGACCCTACTTTTTTCTGAACTCGGCTAATGGTCTGGACTTGTTGACCCAATTGCTACTTTTTTGGCGCGCCGAAATTTGCGGATTTTAATTTGCGGACCCGAAATTTGCGGACCCGAACTTTGCGGACCCGAATTTTGCGGACCCGAACTATGCGGACCCGAATTTTGCGGATCTGAGATTTGCGGACCAAAAATTTGCGGACCGACAATAGAGTCTACTGAACCTCGGAAATTTCAAAAATTTTAGCCTGCGGCGTTAATTAGGATGAATTCAGGCATCATGACCTTATGAGATGGCCATATAAATGATTTTTTTCAAGGAATTTTCTCGATTATTTAAATTATGAAATAATTTTAAGATAAAAAATTGATAAAAATTTTGAAAAATCAAGAAAAATCTTGATCTGGTACAGATCATGGTAAACTCTGCCGGGATCATCGAAAAATAAAATTTTTAATTTTTTCTTTTTACTCAAGTGTCGGTCCTAAAATTTTGATTCCGCAAAAATCAGGTCCGCAAACTTCGAGTCCGCAACCTTCGGGTCCGCAACTTTCGTTCCGCAAATTTCGGGTCCGCAAAGTTCGGGTCCGCAAAATTCGAGTCCGCAAAGTTCGCGCCACGTACTTTTTTATGTAAGAGGAATCCAGACCGAAGACCTACGTTAAAAAATGTCTGGCCTTGGTTTATTGACCTGGGTCTAATAGTACACCGTCCGAAAAAACCCAGAAAGCTAAAAATTCTTTGGGCACAGGTTCTTAGTGACACAGTAATAATACAAATCCCATCCTAACGTGCCAGATTTTTAAGAGAATAAATTCCCCAGAAAATAATTTGAACAAACCTTTAACATTGCATTTAATTCCTCCTCATTTATAACCGTTGCTTGTCCAAGTTTTCCAATAGCATTTCTTATACGTCGACCCAAGTCGGCCAAAACCATTTTTTACTTCTCGTTTGCGATTTTTTTAATTCTGAAAAAATCTGTAGAAAATTTAAAATTATTTAGAAAATCAAACTTAATTATAAAAATATTTAAAAATGATTATTAAACATCAAAAATAACAAAAAACAAAAATATAAAACTTTAATAAATACAGAAAAGTCAGATAGGTATGAATAATCTTAAGAGTTGAACATGTTTATAGACAAAATAAAGAATTACCATTTTTTTTAGAGTAGAATTGAATTTTTATTTATTAAAATTAAACCGACTAAAATTATTACGAAAATAAGTCACAACGTCCCCATATTCAATCAAATAATGATAAAAGACATTAATAGTCACAGAGGGGAGTTGCCATGTTTTCCAGAGATACTGCTCCTTTAGGCCTGTGTCTCCACAATTAACAGGGTTAAATCCGCCTCTGTAACAGTTAATGTGTTTTTTATCATTGTTTGATTGAATGTGATGACATTGTGGCTTATTTTAGGGAATAATTTTAAAAGGTACTACCCGTTAAAGTCAACTCTAAAGAAGAAAAAGCAAAAAAAAAAGAACAACCTAATTAAAAAACCCATTTTAACGAATTTTCTTCTTCTTCATTTCTTCCTCAAGTTTTGTAGTTGAACGAGAATACCAAATCATTTGAACAAAAATAATTCCATTCAAAATTGAAGCCAAAATAAATGGGGCCAAAATTAACCAATCTTTATTTGTTTCTTGAATACTTGTAAAAACTCTAGCACAACATCCAGCAAATTGCATAAAGACAGAAATTAAAGAAAGTTGTCCAGTTCCTTTTTGGGAATAATTTGCATAAATTTGAATAGCCTTGAAAAAAAATTTTTTTATAATGTTTGTTTTACACATAATAAGAGAAAAATTTTATAACTTATGAGCCTTATTCTTATTCTTTTTCTATTTCCCCTTCCATGACTAGATGAGTTTATTAGACTTCCTCATGGAAAAAAAAATAAGTCGAAATGTATAGACAGGATAGATATCCTATTGAAACAACTCCACAAAATTTTAAGTTTCCAAAGGTAATGGGAAAAAAAAGAAACAGGATAAGCCGATCGAAAGAAAAATTTTGGAAACAAGCCTCACAGTCCGATCCCAACTTTTTCTCAAGCCGACCCAATAAAAGGCCTCCAAAAAAAGTCCAAAATTCCATATAACCGGTCCGGAAAGAATTTCCGTTCCAAATTCACATACAAAAAATTTAAACCTTTGAAATAAAAGTAATTGGCAGTGTTGCTGTTTGAAAAGCATTCAAAATTTTAATAGGCACAAAATGGTAAACAACAGACAGCACACCAGCAAAATAGAATAATCCAAAAAGGAAAGCATTGAAGGCACCAGAATTAGAATAATACAAAATTTGCATTATTATTAAAACTGTTTGTAAACCAACAAAGAAAGAATCGCCCCATTGACTAAAAATTAAAAAAAAATTTTTTGCGGAAAAATAAAGATCCGCAAATTTTTTTGCGGACAAAAAAAATTTTTGCGGACAAATCCGAAACTTACCCAAAAATGAATTTCTTCTCATAGCTATAGGCAGCAACAGCAGAACCTTAAAAAAAATTTTTACTCGAAAAATTTAAAAACAAACATGAAACAAGTCCAAAAAGTTGTGAAGCCAGAGAAATTCCTTCAGCAGATTTTGCTTGGTATATTTTCAAAATTTGGGGCACAAATAATAAACAAGAGCCAACAGTTATTCCAACACCAAGGAGTCGACTTATTAAAAGAGGAAGACAATTACCTTTAAAAAAAAATAAAATGTCTAGTAAAAATCTTACATTAGCCCAGAAATGGGTCCACCCTAAGTTTCCCTCTTCAAACAGTTAAAGTTGGTCAAAATCTAAAAAAAACCTAGGCAAATTAGCCTGCCTCCTTATAAAATTGATTAATCGTTGAAAAAAACGAAAGACACATGTAAAACTAGAGTGGAGTTTCCACAGGTTTAAATTCAAGTTCACTAGTTTAACAAGCAGAAATGTTAACGATTACTTAATCATAAAAAGGGGGAAATACCCGAACCCTAATTTCAAGCAAAAAGACCAAATAAAGGAAAAATAAAGAAAAAAACCTTCAAAAAAGTTAAAAGCCAAAAATTCATCAAAACATTTTCCAGGCAGAAAATAATCCAAAAAGTTTTTGACAAGTTTGTTTACATCCACCTTCATTTTATAAAGCTAGAAAAAGAACATTTAATAAAAAAATAAATTTAAACAGATAAAATTGCAATTTAAAATGCTTCCAAATAACACCAACCAAAATTTAAATATAACACTTTTTATGCAAAGAAAAACAGATACATATATTTTGCGAGATCAAAAAAATTGAATATATTTGTCATTGTATTTTTTTGGCAAATTTAATTATTTTTAATAATAGGATGCAATTGGTTAAATTTTATAAGATTCCTTTTTTTCCCTTCTGTCATACTCCTTCTCCTTTTTAGGTCTGAGGCCTAACTCTCCCATTTAAAAATTATGAGAGGCAGCAGCAGAAGGACTACTGCTTAAAGCTCCCCAACTGCCAACACCTCGACTTAGAGCTGACTAAAATTAAAAATTTGAAAAAAATAATTTTTTATAAAGAAAAACATTTCTTAGAGGCCATCTTGCAGCAGTTGCTTTTGCCATTTTATTCTTGTTTTTTTTCTTTTTTGCTTCTTCTCGCTGCGTGTCCTTGCGAGCAGGTTTTTTTCTCGTTTATTTCGAAATTAAAATTAAAAAATTTTTATAAAAATTATGAATGTTACTTCATATACTACAAAAACCTGCTCGCAAGGACACGCAGCGAGAAGAAGCAAAAAAGAAAAAAACAAGAACAAAACGGCAAAAGCAACTGCTGCAAGATGGCCTCTAAGAAATGTTTTTCTTTATAAAAAATTATTTTTTTTTCAAATTTTTAAAATAAAATAAGCAATGGAGCTTCTGAGGCTAAAGTTTATTTTACCTTAAAAGCTGAAAGTCAATTCTGACATTCCTTAAGACAATTTAGGAAATCCCAGCATTTAACAAAAAGGAATCAAAGAGATTTACCCAAATATAACCAATTGCAAAGGCACGCATAAACAAAATATATAAGGTCAAATTCTCTTAAAATAACATTTTTTCTATATTATAATACTTTGGCAACCATAGAAAGTTTTAATCAAAGTTTACTGATTTTGAGAAAGTGTACGCTCTCGCTCCGGTTTGCGCTTCTGCGGCTCTTCAGCATCCCCACGTGGCGGAATAACAATATGAGGCTTGACAGTTGATCCAGTTCGAGCAGAACTTTCTTTGTGAGCTTCAAAACGAATTGTCTCGCTATCAGGAAGACCAAGCTTGGCTTTGAGAATATAACCTTAAAAAATAAAAATAAAATTTTTAAAAAGAAAAAATTTAAAGGTCAAACCCGGATCAATCCTAGTTTCAGTAGACAGGTCCAAAAAAAAAAGTTAATTGCAAATTTACAAATTGTAAGCAAAATTAGGTCAAGAATATCAGTCAAGAAAACACCCTTTTTCAATTCATTTGAGGGGCCATGAGTTCGAGTCCTCCTGGGAAAACTATTTTTTAATTTCGTTGAAAAAGGAGAATTAGAACCTATGACAATTCAATTTCTCAATTTACCTCGAAAAAGTTTAAGAGCTTACAATTAATTTAAAATTTATTTGAGGGGTCATGGGTTCGAGTCCGCTCATAGAAATGCTTTTTAAAATTTTCTTAAAAATCAGAATTTAGCCAAGACTTCGCAATTTCCCCTCAAAAAATTAACAAAAAAAAATACCAATACGAATGTTGACATCGTCAAGATTAGAATCTCTAGTCCACAAAGCAACTTTATCACCCTTTTGACGAACATTAACAACAACACCGCAAATATAAGTTCCCAATTCCTCAAATTGTTCTCCAATAACAGCCATCATTACTTCCATCCAATATTTGTCCAATTTGTATTGGCGGCTTTGTTTGTCAACCTTTTAAAAAAGAAAAAAAGTAAAGACTCAAAAATCATTAAAAAACCTGAACAAGCCAACGACCACCGTTAATATTGTTAGGATCTTCCCACATTGGCTTAATTCCTTCTTTGAAGAGATAATAGTCACTAGACCATCCAAGACCGGTAGCAGGTTGAATGTGGTTGTAGAGACTTGAAAGGAAAGAAGAAATGAAGTAAATGTCCTAATAGACGCCCATGCTCCAATAGAAGCCCACATAATGAGACCGATGAAAAATAAAAGCCCAGGGCGTCTATTAGAACAATTAGTATCAAACCCCCAATAAAATCCAAAAACTCACGCCCAAAAATCCTCAACAGTGTCAAAAGCAGAAACTTGTTTAAGACACTTTTCCCAATCTTTAGAACGATCTCCTTTCAAATACCAAAGAGCCCAGCGATTTTGCAATGGATGGCGAACAGCAAATTCTGAAGGAATTTCAGGTTCTTGTTGTCCCATTTTTTATTTGGTAGAGAGGTTTTTAAAAGAATATTTAAAGAAATTTGAATATATCTAAAAGTTAATAGGGAAATAAATTTATAAAAATAAATGGAAGAACGAAAAGGAACGAAAGGTAAGGACCCGAAAGTGGCGTTTTAGACCACATAGCGGTTTAAAATGACACAAAACAAAAGTTCAATTGCGTATACCACTGTGTAATGACTATTGTAGTTTAGGAAATCCCCTTAAAAGCGAAAACAGATTTACACTTAATCCAAAAACAATGCTCAAACTTAAACAACAAACAAAACAATTGAATAAAAAAGTCTTTAAATAGTAAAGATTTTTTACTCTCCTTCTCTGCAATACACTATTTCTTTGCAACGAATTTTAAAACGAAATGTCATTCTGGTAAAATTTAATTAACCAAATTTATAGTTTGCCAAAACGACTATTAGAGTCTAGGCTGAGATAAGCGACTACTTTTCTTTAGCTTCGCGTTTCGGCAAAAATATTTCAGTTTCGCCTTCGTTTTGTTAACTTTATTGGCGTGCGGCTTTGGTCTATACCTGCCAAAATTATAAAAATTGATAAAAAAAATATTTTGATAAAAAAATATTTAAAAATATTTAAGGAAATATTTGTAAGAAATCAAATAAAAAATATATGTTTTTTAAATACAACGTAGAAAAAACAAATAAAAAATATGTAGTGTTTATATATTTTATTTTAATATTAAAATTAAACATTTGTTTTTGTTAGAGAACAATCACTTCGTCTTTAGAACGCCCATAAGGAAGAGGCATGTCGAAAATTATTGGATCGTATTCTGTCCGTAACTAGAAGAAATTTAAAAATTTTTTTTGAAATTTCTTGGTAAATTAGGCATTTAAAAAATTAATAATAAAATTAACAAAAATTTTTTTTTAAATATAAAAAAAATTTTTTTTAACCTTATGATCACACGTTGATGCATTGATAAATGTTGTAACTCCTTTAAAAATAAATATTTGGGGTAAAATAATTTTTTGTAAAATAGTAAAAAGATAAATTAATTTTTTAAAAATTAAAATTTCAATTAAAAAAATTAATTTTAATTTATTTACCATTTGTCGTGCAACCGTGTTGTTGATGAATGTGCCCAAAAACATGATACCTTTAAAAAATAATTTTTAAAAAATTCAAAAAAAAAAATAAAGAAAACTCACTTTGGCTTAACGCGGTATTCTACTGTATTTAACAACTCTAAAAAATTACAAAATAATTTTATAAAATTATAAATAATTTAAAAAATACCGGCACATCCAGCCAACATCCCACCAAGCTAATTAATTAATAAATACAATTATTAAATTAACAATTTTCAAACAACTCACTTTTGTCCAAGCATTAAAATCACCGTGACCTATAAATTAAATTAATAATTTGTAAAATGTTTGTAAAATTTTTACAAATTCTATATATGTTTTTACACATGTTTTACAAATTAAACGTGTTTTACAAAAGAAAATTCCGCCTAATTTACAAATTGTAAAATATACGTCAATAATTCCGCCTGTTTTACAACGCATACTTTTACTACTTTAAAACTCACTTATAAATAAATATATTTTACAAAATACCTTCCGGAAACATTTTCCGGAAAAAAATTTAAATTATTACAAATTGTAGATAATAAAATATAATTCCGCCTGTTTTACAATTTAAATATTATTTCCGGAAAATTTCCTTTTAATTATTTTTTAAATAAATTACCCAACGGCGGTGTGTGAGTAATTAAAACATCTGTCTTGTTGGGAATTTGATTCCATTTTTGTAATAATGCCTGGCCCCTTTGCCTGTAAAATGAATAACCAGGCATTGGATGCCAAGGAGCACCGTAGATTTTGATGCCATAAACCTTAAAAAATAAAATTAATAATTGTGATTATTTTACAAATTGTAAATTTTGAAAAATACAACATGTTTTACGAAAGAATGATTTTTTGGTTGTTTTCCGGAAATAGAAAAAACCTTGTTTTGTTTTCCTGTTGATATTACAATTTGTAAAATATTTTCCGGAAAAGATTAAATTAATTTTACAATTTATAGAACATTTTCCGGAAGAGGTAAAATTGATTTTACAATTTGTAAAACAACTTTCCGGAACAGGCAAAATTAATTTTACAAATTGTAAAATATTTTCCGGAAAGAATAAAATTGATATTACAAATTGTAAAATAACTTTCCGGAAAGATAAAATTGATTTTACAAATTGTAAAAATTTTCCGGAAGAGATAAACTTAATTTTACAATTTGTAAAACACTTTCCGGAAAAAATAAAATTAATTTTACAATTTGTAAAACATTTTCCGGAAAAAAATAAAATTGATTTTACAATTTGTAAAACATTTTCCGGAAAGAATAAATTAATTTTACAAATTGTAAAACAACTTTCCGGAAAGTATAAATTAATTTTACAAATTGTAAAACACTTTCCGGAAGGAACAAATTCCGCCTGTTTTGCAAAAAAATTAACTTTTATTGTTTTCCAGAAAACAATAAACTTATTACAAATTGTAAAAGTATTTAAAACCTCGATCAGTCGATCGCAAAGGTAAATACAATTTGTAAGTAATTCATAAGCCTTTCCAATACCCAACATTGAAAGTCCCGCTAACTGTCTATCGCTCATTTCCTCCCCATCTTCAAATCCCAATTCGTGATTTCCAGCAATAACAATTTTTACTTTATGGGGTAATTTGCCTTTAA